AAGTTTAAACTTTATTTGTTTCCTTTAAGTATTTTTATTATTCATATAAACTCTAAAGTAAGTGTAAATACCACATAACACATACAGGGTATCCCAGCTGAAGTGTGACAGACTCGTTATTTTGTAACTATTAATGATAAAAAAAATGATTGATATGGAAATTGCACGGTAAAATGGGAACTGTGTTTTGTTTGAAATAAAAAATTTTTGCATTATTAATTTAAGAGATATGATCGTCAAGTTTTGTTTCTTAAATGGATCATATATTTTTTTTCAGATCATGTGATAGTGCTTTTCAAGACAAATTTATTAAGCTTCAATGTATACACCTGATATTAATTAGTTTTTAAGATAAAACGTTTGCAAATTTACGGATTTTGAGGAGAGACGTCTCAATTCGAGTAACAAGTCGTAAAAGCGGCCCTAGTGTTGCGTAAGTGCACCATGGTGTGGAGAATGGTGTCTCACTGCAACAATAGGGCCGCTTTTACGATTTGCTACTTGAACTAAAGGCTGGTTCAGACACGGCTAGTAGTTTAGTCGAGTGGCAAGTAGTTTAGTGTATGGACACTAGAGTTTAGTCGAGTAGTTTCATTAGATTTTTCTGGTCAAGTAGACTTCCCCCACCACTAACTAGGCTTTCGGACAGACCTGTCCGGACGCATTTCTTTAGTCAAGGGATATATCTTGAACTCTTGATTTTCAAAGCTTAACTGTACTAGTCCGGACACTTTCCTATGCGCTAAACGGTTTAGTAGTAAGTAGCTACTCCCCACTCGACTAAATTACTAGCCGAGTCTGAACCAGTCTTAACACGTTTCCCCTGAAAATCCGTACATTAGCAAGAAGCAGTATCAGATGATCTAAAAAAGAAAATATATATATAGTCCCATTTGAAAAACAAAACTTGACCATGATATCTCCGAAACTAATAATGTAACAAATGTTCGGCCAAAAGATAGTTCCCATTTTACCGTGCAATTTCCATATCAATAATTTTTTGTATCATTAATACATAGTTACGGAATAACGAGTATGTCACACTTCAGCCGGGACATCCTGTATGCATATAGAAACCATGTTCTTGTGTGCATATCACACCGATACAATGCACTTATACATATGTATATGTTCGAAGCGACAGACGCCAGTGCTCTAAGTATTCATGTGTGCGAACTAATTTGCATTAAGCCTCGTACAGGGTTGAGCATTTTTGCCCGAACGAACTGTTATACACCCAAATATTTACTGTTACTCATTCCGTGCCTCATCCAAAACTTTATCTCTTTCCAAATCACTCCACTATTACTCACTTCCGAACTTTCACCTTCTAAACTCTCCTTTCTTTTCCCCTATCTTGCCATAGCTCAAAGTTCACCTTCCGAAACCCTTAAAAGGACTGGAAACTCCGTGCGCGGGCAGTCTTCACTTTGTAACCGCTCTGTATGAATAAAAAGTTACTGTTCTCCACGAATGGTCGATCTTTAATTGAATATTACTAAGTGATACCCTAAATCCCTAAATTCAATATCGAGGTATTGAAGGAAAACGGGCATCACAGAACGATTTCGGCGTACGAATGCTCTAGTCTAGGCCCTGTTCGCGAAGGCCCCGAGCACGAACGAACGCTTTCCGACGACTATCGGTCCATCAAAGGATGTTCGAGCGAACAAGCGCTCAGTGTGGACGGGTTTCTGGTACAGTGAAACCTGGATATCTGCAACGAAAGATTGGCTGGATATATGCAACATTGCTATCCCCTCCACTTGGGGCGATCCCCCTAAGCGAATCGAGACACTCGACGAGGAAGCCGTGTAATACGATCCGAACCGTTATACAGTAAAAGCTGGATATATGCAACAAAAGTTTGTCTGAATATATGCATCATCGCTATCCCCTCCACTCGGGGGGATCCCCGTAAGCCGAACCGAGCCGCTCGGCGAGGAAACCGTGTAATATGATCCGACCGTAATATCGGTGTGACTAATACTAATTGAACGATAAAATTTTTTTATTTTTAACTTTTTCTTAATGAAACTTTTACTAACGCATTTGTGAGATTTTTCTGATTAAAATGGTACCAAACATAAGGCAGGCCGTGCACCAAAGATGCATCAAACACGCAACATGCATACGTACGAACGTAGAATAGGTATCGCGGCTGAATACAAACGATGTTTACGGACGCAAAATCGACACCTCGACTGGATATATGAAACATTAAATGCCCAGAATCGACACCTCGGCTGGATATATGCAACGTTTAAATGCCCAGAATCGACACCTCGGCTGGATATATGCAACGTTTGAAAGCAGAACTGACCGGTTTTCATTTCCAACCCTCCTTTGCTTTTCGCCAAATTTTAACATCAATTTTGGCAAGTAATTATAATTGAAACTATATCGTGTTTGGTACCACTTGAACCACAAAAATCTCACCAATGCGCTAGTAAAAGTTTCATTAAAAAAAAGTCAAAAATAAAAAAGTTTTTTGATTCAATTAGTATTAGTCACACCGATACGTTTCTTTCCTTTGATCATCGGACCTCTCACTTTCCACCATTGTCTGTCCCTTTCTACGTTCACGCTTGGCTGGTCGTCGCGTGTAACCCGAGATTCGACACCTCGGCTAGATATATGCAACGTCTGGGTCCCAATGTTTGTTGCATACAGGGTGTCCCAGAACTGGGGTAGGAACGAAAGAGGGATGATTGGTGAGGTCATTCTAAAAAACTTTTTTCTTTGCCAAAATGTTGGTTAAGGCTTCGTTTTCGAGTTATTATCGAAAAACACTGGCCAATCAGAGCGCGCCGTTAGCGCGGACCGAACCACGAGAGTGTTGGGTATGTTCCGCGCGGTCGTGATCAAGTGCATCGGCACCACGTCGGTGTAATAGGATTCGTTGTTAATGAGTAATCAATAATTCGATACAATTATTCTTTTCTTTTTTTTATTCATTATCCGATGCAACGAATCCCATCATACCGACGTAGTGTCGAGGCACTTGATCACGACCGCGCGGAACATATCCAACTCTCTCGTGGTTCGGCCCGCGCTAACGGCGCGCTCTGATTGGCCAGTGTTTTTCGTTAATAACTCGAAAACGAAGCCTTAACCAACATTTTGGCAAAGGAAAAAGTTGTTTAGAATGACCTCACCAATCATCCCTCTTCCGTTCCTACCCCAGTTCTGGGACACCTTGTATATCCAGCTTTTACTGTAGTACGTCTATTCCTGACTACATTCTAACTTCGATTGGTTTACGATGCCCGAATGTGATGCTCGAGAGAAGGAAGAAACACCCGAACGAACGTTCGTGCGCCGAAAACATTCGTTCGGGCAAAAATGCTCAAGTCTGTACGAAATGCATGACGATTTCTTAGGTCTCGTTCAGTGTATTAGAACATCCCATAATCTGGCATCCCGTAATCACGTACTGTGCGTTGCACCTAAGTTGCCGAGCACCGACAAACTGAACCGACAGCGGGGCAAGGGGACTGTGCGTTCGCTCCACCTAATCCCCTCCAGGAGCTCGTAACTTGAGAAGTGAGCGGCCAGATTGCATAGGCGTAAAATTTCCATATTCGCGGAAGATGTATTTAATTATATAAACATGCAAATTTTTCGAGATATTAATGGATTTTTTATAATACTCGTTCTTGACAACAGTTGTTATTATGCAAAATTTATGGAAATTACATTATGGAAAGTGTAAAAACTCTCCTGTTTTCTTAATACAGTAAAACCTGGATAAATTCAACGAAAGAATGCTTGGATAAATGAAACATCGCTATCCCCTCCACTTGGGGGGATCCCCCTAGGCGAACCGAGCCGCTCGACGAGGAAACCGTGTAATATGATCCGACCGTAATATCCGTGTGACTATACTAATTCAACGATAAAACTTTTTTATTTTTAACTTTTTCTCAATGAAACTGTTACTAATGCATTTGTGAGATTTTTCTGATTAAAATGATACCAAACTCGATATAGGTTGAATTATATTTATAAACAATAGTAATAGAATAAACAGCATAGAATTGAGACCACGACTGAATATAAATGATGTCGGCTGAATACAAAAGATGTGTACGGACACAGAATCGGCATGTTGGCTACAAAGAAAACATGTGTACGGATTCAGAATCGACACCTCGCTTGGATAAATGAAACATTAAATGCCCAGAATCGACTCCTTGCTTGAATAAATGAAACATTAAATGCCCGGAATCGACTCCTTGCTTGAATAAATGAAACATTAAATGCCCAGAATCGACTCCTCGCTAGGATAAATGAAACCTTTGAAACCAAAGCCGACACCGCGACTGGTTTGGATTTCGATCTCTCTTGCTTTTCGCCAACTTATAACATCAATTTTAGCAAGTAATTATAATTGAAACTATATCGTGTTTGGTACCACTTTACTCACAAAAATCTCACCAATGCGCTAGTAAAAGTTTCACTCAAAAAAAGTCAAAAATAAAAAAGTTTTTTGATTCAATTAGTATTAGTCACACCGATACGTTTCGGCTCTTTCCTTTGATTTCGGACCTCTCTCTTTCCACCACTGTCTGTCCCTTTCAACGTTCACGCTTGGCTGGTCGTCGCGTGTCATCCGAGCTTCGATACCGTGCTTAGGTAAACGCAACCACTGGGTCCCAATCTTGGTTGAATTTATCCAGGTTTTACTGTAATGTAAACCCCGAATCTACGTCTACGTCAATGCGTTTGAATCGTCGCTCTCAATCGCTTCATCTCATTCTGTTTTAATGTCTGTCCTTAGCGACGTTCGTCACACGATAGATTTGTGGATGTAAAAGCCTCGGCCAATAAACATAATACGTGTGACTGGAGGTAGGTCAACGAATTTGATTGGACGGCAACTTAGCTGCAACGCACAGTACCTGATTTCATGGTAACGTACAATGTAACTGCTAGATTCCTTTGCTTCGCAATTGTACAAAATGTATATAAGCGAAGGAAGAAGTGGCCAAGAAGTGTTACAGGTGTTTGTGCATGGCCTCATCAGACGGTGCTTTTCGCAAGACTGCCGAAAGAATCGATAAGAAACACATGCGCCAGCAGCAACTTTGTACATATTTCTTCGTTCACTCTTGCATGGCCTCGCATACCATCGAGTCCAATAAGAATTGGAGCAGTATCAAAAGGTACCCGATGATGCCTCCCATGACCTGCAAAAAAGTTTTATTCTAGTATAATTGAACTGGGAGGAATTTAAACTAAAGCTTTTGCCCTAAGCTTTGCCTCTTTCACCATATACTGTACAGGGCAAATTTAGGGCAATCTTACCTCCGCAAGAAGCAATGCGTTCAAATCGATTACTTTCGCTGAAAACGTAGTGTCACCGTGTAGTAATTGCAGCGAGAAAAGCTCCAGCTGCAATTTAATAATATTTATAGACATCTTTTGAAGATTCGATGAATTTGTAGCTTACCTCGCGTTTCACCGACAAATCGGTCGCCTCGCTAAGGGCATCGTGAAGAGTAGTGCGGATTTGTTCAGCTTTCTTAGTCGCCGTTTCACAGGCCCAAATCGTCGTAACAAATTTAAGAAAATTATATATGACAGGAGTAATATAAGGCCAGTACCAAAATAGTTGATTTTTCTGAGCTTTTGTCCCACCGATGATCAGCACTATCCAAAAGTACAAATTCAAAGTAACAATAACACAAGTGTTGAAAGCTGTTACTACGTGTTGCGTGACAAACATCTTGTTCAGTAATTGTAGAATATCGGTGATCTGCAGGTGTTTCCCTTCTAAATTCTTCAATTTCATCAGCAACGAGGTAGTCCTCTGTTTGTGGCGCAGAAATGTCTTGGTGACGGGTTTTCGAAATTTATCAATTTCTTCGTTGATTTTCATGAAGCATGCTTTTAAAACGCACGCCGAGTTAATGTGGAACATGTCCATGACGAAGTTCACCAACATAACGAATAGAACGTAAAAATTTCTCACTGTTATGAACGTGTTTCCACTTTTAACGCAATTGAACACGTGACTTGAGATAAGTAAAAATACAAAAATATCCTTTGAATGAACGAATATCGCCATGTCGTTGAAGTCCTTTGACGCCACCATGGAGGACACCTCCGTGAGCTCTTGAAGAAAGCGCAGTATCGTTTTATATTGACCGTACGTTAACGAGATAGTGCTTACAGTCATGATGAGAACCACATTGAGATGCATTTTTTTTGGTATAGGAATGAGTGTCAACGGGGTGGAATTATTTATATATCCCATATAAAAGGCCACGATCAGGAACGTGGTCAAAATGGTCATTGAATAAATTACACGAATTCTTGAAATGGTATATCCTGAAGAGTCTAATTTGAAAGGAAAAACTCCGAATAGATTTCCGATGAAATGGCAAGGGTACATCAGCGAAACGAAATCCGTGGCGTGAAATAGTTTCCATTTCTTGTTCTCCTTTAATTCTGTTATCTTCCAAGCTTCAGACATCGTTCTTCCGAAACTTGGAAAGTTACAGAGGAAAAATTTCAATGTTACTCACGAAAATTGTCTGTCTGACAGACTCACAGAAAAAAACTTCGTTATAAAAGTGGACAGACTGCTTATGTTTTCAATAAACTCGAGATACTGATGTTTAATCATGGGTGTAGGGCGTTTGAACGATTCTCTTGGTATTAGAAAATTGCATGATATTAAAAAATTAATTGCAATACGATAATACATAACGTGAATAAATAATTTGCTGCATAGTTTGCTTTTAGCATGATTAAGAGTGGTGCTGTAAATTTATAATTTATACCAGGCTCTTCGTCAATCGACCATAATTGTTTCTTCACTATTCAATTAAAAATCATTACATTAGAGCTTCTTCTTAACAGGGCTTTACAAGCAAAGATTGTACCAATAGTACTACATAAGTGGAAATAGAGCACACTATCTGCAAGAAAGAAAATATGAAAGAATTAAATATTAAATTCGAATTGTAAATTAAATGAATTTACCTTTGTCAAAATGGTTGCGTCCATCGGAAGACCCATCGCCGAGAAGGTGCTGTCACACTGCAGTACTTGCAACGAGAATAATTCCAACTACGGAGGTGCAAATTAATAAAATTCATCCATTAAAATCAATGAGATTTTATTCATAATTCTTCCATCATTTCACCTTACCTCGATCGTCGTCTGTTTGTCAAAAGTATTCACGACGATTCGGTGAACATTAGAACCAATCTGCTGGGCTTGGATCTTAGTCGTCTCGGTGGTCCAAACAATCAAAATCAAATTGAAAGTATAATGTATAATATACATATTAATATCGGAAAACCATATGGTAACGATATCCCCTTGAGTAAAAATTACCACATAATGATACACATTAAACGTGAGGTCAATGAAGATCATTATAAGTGATCCGATATTTTGAATATTATACGTCTCGTTAATTAACCGGACAGCAACAGTGATTTTTAAATGTTGTTTTCTAAGATTTCTCAGTTGTTTGAGCAACTCAGGATTTTCCTGCGATTGATATACTCTGCTGAAAAGATGCGGCTCTTCGTTGATCACCGTTTCGTTCAGTTTTACCAAGGAATCATTTATTTTTTCAAAACAAGCTTTCAACACGTACACATTGTTCACGTACAAAGCGTTTGCCGCTACCATCGACAAAAACACGTACCAACAGGTGCAACCAACTATGTATCCAAATCCCTTCACACTAAATAGAAAATACGGAATAAATGGGATGAGAAGCAACACGTCCTTCGCGTACACCAGTTTGGCTAATTTGCGAATGGTTTTCGGTGGCAGCAGAGTAGCAACATTTTTCACTTTCTCAATCATTCGTACGGTAGAATGATTTGAAATGTAGCCACATATAACGATCATGGGACTCAAGAACAAAATGAAATTGCTGTGTAAACCCATGGACTTGTCGATTTCAATAACGTAATTAACATTGTATATGGCTAATATCATACAAATGCTGAAAATGATCACCAAGATCACAGAAAATGAAAAACGAAATTTTGATATGTATCTCGATGAGACAATTTTAAAGCGCAAAAATCCAATGCACATATTTACGAAAATACAATAACGCATTAACGTTCTGTAGTTTGTTACGTTGAAAAATGTCCATGTTTCGTTTTTATCTTTGATTTTCTTTTCACCGAGTTTTGGTACTTGGTTGAACATTTGGAGAACGTTTCTTGAAGTAGTATATAAAGTACCTTCTTCTTGGAGGTTGTATCATGTACTAGTGAAGAAAGAGTAATAAAGTTAGAATAGTGACATTTAATCATTATTATGCAAATCTAGTTGAAGCATCAAAAAACAGAATGAAAATATCATCCACTAATGGAAGAGGGTTTTAGTACTTCCGTTAAGTCTTTAAAATGGTAGTGCATGCAATACATTGTATGAGGAAATTATTGGGAATAACAGTTGCATTATCTTGATTAAAAGTAATCGATAAAGTTAATACGATATAACCTATTTTATCGATTCTGTCTACCCTTATCTGGTGTTTATATCAACATTTACCGGGAAGTATTATTAGAAATACTTGAAGAAATATTTTTTGAAATACATATTCATAATTTGATATATTATTAGAAGATTTGCAATTTTTATTTTCATTATTTTTATCAAATTATATAATAATGTTTTTGTAGTTACAGGCATGTAGATAATGACGATAAATTGGGTTAAAATAATACTTGTTGCTTGTAAGAAATTCCTGTTCAAAGCTATACACTATCGCTATTTTCTCAATTAAGAGCGTAGCATTTGACGTCAATGAGTACTATGCGTAGCTTATTTTATCAACTTCCTGTGCTTACTGTTGTTAATAGATATAATGTTTTTTAACCGCGATATTGCAGTTTATCATTGAAATTTTTTCTTCTATTAAATAAAACAACCATTTCAAAAAGGTTAATGTGTCAGCAGTATTGACGATGCAATAAAATGTTTTATTTAGATCGCCTGCAAGAGTAATCAATTTCTATAAATTAGAAGCAAAAATATATAAACTTCAATACGAAAGTCAATTTATTTTAAGTGAATAAATAATTATAATAATGTAATGATTTTAAAACTATATGATTACTAATGCGTTTAAATATATTTAATATTTTATTTTATATGGGAAACAACCATAACATCAATTTTAATTTTTTATGTATTCTACATATACATTTATATATTTTCTTTTTTTTAAATAATAAATTATCGCGTAAAATTATTAACTCTAAGGCACATCTAGAAACGTATATGTTTCTGGCGAAGAGATAATGCTGAATAGGCAGTATAGATTAGGTATTTTTGCTGCCAATAAGCACCTATCAGCACCTATTAACGCTTATGTAATCAGTAGTATGACTGACTAATACGTGAAACTGTTTGAACTGATATCATTTTAAATGTGATAGCTACGTAGCTTTTGTATGACACCGATTGAAAGTAGTTTATAACGATTAATTAAATATTTATTTCCGCATCGGCAAACCGACGCGGCGTAAATGTGTTACTGTGCCAACTTCAATGCGACAACTTCGGTGCAACTCATACGGAGAACTACCCAAGTGTTACACTCGCTTATTAATGAAACTTTGCCAGCTTGTAGAGCTCGTCGAGCTGAATACGCCTATACCCCGTTTTGTGGGCAGACGGCTAATTGTTTAAAAGATATTAATAATTAAACTTATAATTGATTAATAATTAAAAGATATTAATAATTAGTAACTACTTACATTGAGAAGTATGACAGACTCACACATACAAACGGTTAACTCTGTGATAAAACGCAATCTAAAGGTCCACGGTTCAAATCCATGGATCCCACGTTTTTTTAAAATTATAATTTCTCTTTTTGAATAACTACTACAGCTGTGCTATAATCACTGCATTTATTAATAATTAATTACATACACTACAATTTTTATAGAATTTAAGATATTCAAAATAGAATATAGAATTTTAGTTTAGGATTATATAGAATTTTAATTATACAAAAAGAGACAAATCATTTAAAAAAAAAAAAAAAAATGGGAACCAAGCATTTGAACCGGTGACCTTTAGATTGCGAGTCATGTGTTTAACCACGGAGCGGATCCATGACTCGCAATCTCAAGATCCTCGGTTCAAATCCTTGGTTCCCAAAAATTTTTTTTTTATGATCATTTTTATGTAATAGTTATTCAAAAAGAGACAAATTATCATTAAAAAAAAAGAAAAAAAATGTTGGGAACCAAGGATTTGAACCGTGGATCTCTAGATTGAGAGTTGTATGTGTGAGTTTGTCATACTTCAGAATGTAAGAAGTAACTAACTGTAATTGTTAATATCTTTTAAACAATTAGCCATCTGCCCCCAAAAGGGGGTATAGGCATGTTCAGCTCGACAAGCTCTACAAGCTGGCAAAGTTTCATTAATAAGTGAGTGTAACACTTGGGTAGTTCCCCTCGTCAGTACAAACAGCATCATGAACAAAAACAGTATTAATAAAGGAATAATTTCTTATATGTATTTAGAAAATTTCGTGTAAGTATTATTCTAAAATATTTTATTAATCATTTCAATATATGTGAAATGTTTATTTTGTTACAGAACTTATAATAGCGTTTCTCTAAAACCTGGGAGAAATTTAAATGTAATTATCAGACCTAACGGTACTGGTAAATCTACAATTGTTTGTGCCATTGTTCTTGGATTAGGTGGTAAACCTACTACCATTGGGCGCGCAACCCATGTAGCGGAATATGTTAAAGCAGGATGCAAACAAGCAAAGATTGAAATACATCTTACAAATGGACAGAAGGATGACATTGTCATTTGTAGACAATTTAGTATACAGGGGAAATCTTCGTGGTTATTAAATGGAAACTCTTCAAACATTAAAGAAATACAAAATCTAACAAAGACTTTAGATATTCAGGTATTAATATTAATGTTATGCCAATTTGATCTAAAATTCTTCATTCCTTATTTTATATTTAGGTGGATAATCTTTATCAATTTCTTCCACAAGACAAAGTTCAAGATTTTTCAAAAATGAATGCACAAGAATTATTCGAATATATAGAAAGATCAGTGGGTGATCCTATAATACTTGAACATCATACAAAGTTACTAAACTGTAGATCAGAACATAAACAGTTGGAGTCACAGATTACAAGTAAAAAAAGATTATTAGAATCAAAATCTCAGATATACGAAGGACTAAAAGAAAGTGTTAGCAGTATAAAAGAATGGAAATTAATAAAGAAAAAAATTATATCTTTGAAGCAGAAAAAGGCATGGATGATATATGAACACAAACGTGCAGAACTGTTTCAGGTAAATCATAAAATAAAATTCATTACTTTTAAATATTAAAGTTCTTTAAATGTACATCGTTCTTGCAGTTAAAAAGCAAAATGGCAGCTGCACGTAAAAAAGTAGTATCTTTAGAATCAGAGATAAAATCTATTAATGATTTAATAGAAAAACTAAAATCAAAAATTCACTTAATTCAGAGCTCTCAGGCAGATGTTGTAAGTTTATATGTTTTAAATTACAAAATAATATATAACATGCATTTTGGGCACCCTGTAACTATCTTATATTTCAGAATAATAAAGTAAAAATTAAGACTTCGAAGATGAAAGGAACGTTGAATGATATTTTGGAATTCGAGAATGGTATTAAAGAACACGAAACTGCATGCAAACACAGAATTCAAGTAGAAGAAGCACTGGATCATGATATTGACGTGGTTAAGCAACAAAAAAATAAACTTGAGGATGATTTGTCTTTGATATTAAAGGGCATTGGGTCTGAAGACACATTAATGAAACAGCAAAAAGAAATATCGTCCAATATAGAAAAGCATAGGAGTATCATTGCCATGCTATCAAGTAAACATTCCGCGTTAAGACAACAAGATAAAGGTATGAATCTAGAAATCAGAGTTCAGGAAACGGAACTACAACTTCTTAATACTGATGCTAAACGATTGCAATTATTAAGGGAGAGATTATTGGATACATATAAAGCGGTACATTGGTTAAGAGACAACCGCGATAAGTTTTCTGGGATAATACACGAACCGATATTGCTCAACATAAATGTAAAAGATGCTTCATACGCAAAATACTTAGAAAATACTATTCCGTATCGCAATTTAATCACGTTCGTTTGCGAAAACAAGAAAGACATGAATTTATTTTTATATTTCTTAAGAGGCGAGCAGAAATTACAAGTAAATGCTGTACATTCTGATCCCACGAAACATATTTCCATGGAACCAAATGTTCCTTTAGAACATATTAAACAGTTCGGTTTTACTCATTATTTAGCGTCACTGATTGAAACACCGAGCACTATTATGAAATATTTAGTGACTATGTATAATTTAAATAATATACCCGTAGGAACAAATCTTGTTGATGATAATATTGATTCTATACCCCACAATATACGTTACTACTTCAGTCGTAAGTAAACCGTGTACCAGTTCAATTAATTGGTTAATTAATATGTATATATATATATATTTTTTTTTTCAGGAAATAATGCGTATACAGTCAATAGATCTAAATACACAGGGGAGAAATCTACTATAATGCGATCAGTTTCAAGCAATGGAATGTTATCTATTGTATTAGATAAATCTAAGTTATCAAACATTGAACAAAAGTTTGTTCAAAATTTAACACATCAAATAGTATTATAGCTGTAAATAGTTTATAATAAAAATATGATTTTAGGTTGACAAGATTAAAGAAAGAAAAAGTTAATGCACTTAATAAAATGAAAGAAATCGAAGAACAAATGTGTGAAGAGAATAAAAAATTAGATGAGCATAGAGCTAGTAGAAATAAGATTCAACAGGATTTCCAACAAGTACAAGTTTTGAAATCTAGAATATCTGTGGTGGAGAAGAAAATTGAAAGTCTAGAAAATGAACGTACCAGTATTGATAAAATAAAAGAGCTTTTTACTAATAAAATTAAGGTTTATTTATTATCATTTCACGTTGTTATTGTTATACGTATTGCGTGTAAACAATATCTTTCGGTACATTTTTCAGGATGTTTTGAACAAACAACTAAGAATGTATAGAACATACAATAAAGAGCTCGAGGAATATTATAAATACACTATAGAAAATGAACAAACCGAGTTAATATTAAAACTACAAAATAGATCACTGAGAATGAAAATAAATGATTCTCAGGATATGAGAGATAAACTTAAGATAGAAGAGGAGAAAGTACGACAAATTAGTTTAGAATTGAATCCAATGAAAAATGAAACACAAAGGATTTACAATGAAGCATTGCAAACTTCTAATGGCATTAGTCCTACAGATAAAAGGTTTGCCTCTCTGGATAAGGTTTTCAATAAATTGCCACCAACCATTCAAGAACTTAATAATGAACTTAATACAGTAAAACCTGGATAAATGCAACCAAGATTGGGACCCAGTGGTTGCATTTATCCAAGCGAGGTGTCGAATCTCGGGTTACACGCGACGACCAGCCAAGCGTGAACGTAGAAAGGAACAGACAGTGGCGGAAAGAGAGAGGTCCGATGATGAAAGGAAAGAGCCGAAACGTGTCGGTGTGACTAATGCTAATTCAACTACAGTAAAAGCTGGATATATGCAACAAAAGTTTGGCTGGATATATGCAACATCGCTATCCCCTCCACTTGGGGGGATCCCCCTAAGCCGAACCGAGCCGCTCGGCGAGGAAACCGTGTAATATGATCCGACCGTAATATCGGTGTGACTAATACTAATTGAACGATCAAACTTTTTTATTTTTAACTTTATTCCATGTTTGATTGTGAGTCGAGCAACACACGGTGTGATTGATAGCAAAAATTGTAAAAATAACTAAGTCGCGGTATTTTCAGTGATAGATTTGTATTCCACGAAAAAATAAATATCTAAAATTACCACAATAGTATATATAAATTTGTCCATTGCTTGACACAGTCTGCGACCTTTCAGAATATTCGGGGTCTGTTTTCTGTTATAAAGTCTTGCCGTAAAACTTTGAAAAAGAAAGGACAGTCAGTGATGGGCCATGATGGGGTATGTGCGGACAATGACGCACTCAGGATTTATTCTTGGAGGGAGCTAAGTTGAACGAATAAAAATATTTTTAATACAAAAAACAGTGTTATTAATATGTTACATAAACAGTAACACTACTTTAATTAGGAACAGATTTTGGAAAATTTTCTGTTGTTCTCCTTCCTTTTTCTTTGAGGGATGCTAGAGCCCCTTAGCCCCCCTTGAGTGCGCCAGCGTCAGCGCGGGTATGCAAGGACACAAGCTTTTAAACGTTTGGGACGTTCGACTCTGTTCACCACATGGCAGAATAAGAGAATACTAGTATGTCATTCTCTGTTAAAAATGTCTACTTTCGCTACCTGTGAAAAAGGTAAAAATGCCCACCTGTTAACAGTCTGCTAAGAGACGAGTCTCTGTTAACAGTTAAATGATATTTTTGGTTTAAGAATCATTATTTTATAAATATAACAGTAATTTTCGAATTATTTTTTATTCAATTCTTCTATTTTTTTCAGAATGTTACGTACCAAATATTCTTATTTTTCATATATTTATGTAGTATCGATTATTACAATAAGAATCTAATCCAATTATAAGGTAAAATATAATTGTTTTCCAAGCAGCACCGACGAGATAATTATTGTACTGTGGCAAAGCTAAATCATCTCGTTGGTGGTATAACAGTTTTTTTTCGGCGGTACAATGGGTAATATCACTATTCTACATTATCCATCATTCCTATTTACCGATCGTACCCCAGGCCCACTGGGCCCACTTGGCGTGCCGAACTTTAACACAGGGGTTGGCAATCTTTAACAGTATCTCGTCGGTGTCCATGGCACTATGGTAGAAGTGAGAAGCCAGAAGAACTTGCAAAGCACTTAAAAAAGAGATGAACTGCTTTCTTTATTAATATCCAGCCCTTTATCGACTCTGATCGTCCACCAATCCATAATCGGTATAGATCCCTTACCCGTGACCCGACAGAAAGACCCAATCCCCGACCTGTAACCCCACCCCAAAATTCGCCGCGACAGCGACGAGCGAGCAGTCAGAGTTTAGTATTAGAAGCGTTAGTAGTGAGTGAGTGCAAGAGTACGAGCGCGTACGTGCGGTCAACGTATCGGTAAGCCCCTATCATTACTAAAATTGTAAAATCTGGGTCCGATAACGGCTACCTTCCCCGTCCGAATCTTTGTTCGCCGCGATATCGTCCCGCCCCCTTCTCCAGCCCTTAAAGATACCCTTTGGATACTCGATCGCGTAACGCGAAGAACCTCCTCGAACCCTCTACCCCGAGATTCCCATCCCATATTCTTCCCAACCCTTGCGAACTCCCCCACGTAGTCTGTGATGGCCGGCCACGGTCTTTATTGTAGAAATTCTGTATAGAGTGAACTCTCGAAAAGGGTCACAAAATTGGCATCTAACGTCGGGCCAGGAAGGTCCAACGTTCCATAAGCTTTCGCGATCGGAATTTCTCGAATCACCGTTACGAATTTGAAATTGTCGAAACTACACAGAAGGTGCCCGTTACCGTTACTGATACCCTTGTTGCCGTTTTTTTGGCCGTTGCCGGTCGAACACGGTGTTGTGATTAACGTACCGATATAAAAACTGTCAGTGCCTCTCAACCGAACCGAAAGCCGTTTTCGATCGAACGTTTGATTTTGAAAATTATTTTGAACCTGTTGCATGGCCACTGATCGTGAGTTAATGTGGCGGTCTCCTTTAGTTTTGACATACTTCAAAAGGAAAAAGTTGTTCTAAATTACACCCCCCACCACATATCCAAAAATTATTTCTTTCTGCTGTAACTGCTTTTAATATTTTTTTTGTCCTGGCAAGTTCTGCCTGCAATTCCACTTGTAAACACAAGTTGTAAATTAAATAATGAAAAAAATATAACGATGCAAATATCTATTATGAAAAATCGTTTACAACCATCTCTTTTCTATGTAGTTCCTCGATTCTTGGGCGGTACGGCGAACTGGACCTAGATCGGCCGCCCCTCCATTCTCCGGGCCGCAACATCCCCTTTGTTAATTCTAGTGGGGAGTAACTTATATACAGGATGTCACGCGACTACTTCGACAACCGAAGAGGGATGATTGACAAGGTGATTCTAAACAACTTTTTCCTTTGCCAAAATATTGATTAAGGTCCCGTTTCCGAGTTATTAACAAAAAACACTGGCCAATCAGAGCGCGCCTTTAGCGCGGGCCGAACCACGAGTGTTGGGTTTGCTCTGTGTTCAAGCCACGCCGTGGTCGTGATCAAGTGCATCAGCACCACGTGGTATAGTAGAACTCGTTGGGCAAAAGTTGTATGGAATAATGAATGAAAAAAAGAAAAGAAGGATGATCGCCGATCAAGATGAAATTTTAAGGGGAAGGGGGAGGTGGGAGGGAACCCCAAATATAAAGTGGTATCTTCGGCTTCCTATTAGTTTCCGAGATATTAATTAAAAACTTTCGTAAAATACATAGAATCTTTCCTATACAGACGTAACTAACACAACCATCTTCGCTGTAGTAAGCTGACATTGTCAAGTGCCGAACAGCCGTTGACACAGCGGGGGTTCCAACCTGACTATCTATAGGGTGTCCTATTCAAAACTTTAGAGATACGACGATTGTTGTAGCGTTGGCGGCCGCCTTCCGGTGGCCGGAAATTTATCTAGCCTAACCTAACCTACGTATAAATCAAACGTGTTTAATTCCTTGAGAATTAGTAATACAATATAAAACATAACATAATGTAACTAAAAAGATGGATTTTACATGGTACACCCTATAGAAACGAAAGACGATATTGCTATGGTGTGAACGGCTGTTCGACACTTCACGATGACGGTTGCTAGAGCGAAGACGGTAGTGTTAGTTATGTCTGTATAGGAAAAATTCTATGCATTGTACGAAAGTTTTTAATTAATATCTCGGAAACTAATAGGAAGCCGAAGATACCGCTTTATATTTGGGGTCGTTTACTTGCTCCCAACCAACCCTCCAAATTTCATCTTGATCGGCGACCGGTCGTATTCAGAACTACAGCCGAAAAGAATAATAGAATCGAATTATTGGTTGCTCATGAACAACGAATAAAGTAATGAATAGGTTTCATGTACAATAAATAAATCGATACTATTATTTTTTTCTTTTTTTTTTAAATAAGTTTGCAAATAATAAAAAAAGGATTAAAATGGGGGAAACTTCCGAAAGGCCCCCCCCCCCCGAAATTCCGAAATTGCCCGGAATCCATCGTTCTGCAAGTGCGTCTTATGGACTGATGAAGCCCTTTTCACCAGGGAGGGGTGCTTCAATGGCCACAATTTGCAAGTGTGAGACGATGAGAATCCGTTGGCGATTCGAAAAAGAGCAGGACAAGTGCGCTGGTCAATCAATGTATGGGCCGGAATTTGCGGCAATTTTATCGTTGGGCTGTAAGTACATTCTACTTGTTAGATGGACGGCCCATCGTACAGAGTGTTCCTAGAACATGTCCTTCTCATTCTCGTGGAGGTAATTCCTCCCGAAATTCGGAGGAGCATGTTCTATCAATACGATGGTGCACATGCACATTTCGCCGCAAATGTCCGCGCCTATTTACATCAAGCCTTTCAGGACAGGGGGATTGGCCGCGGCGGTCCTGTTGCGTGACCCCCTCGATCGCCGGATATGAATCCACTGAATTTTTTTTCTGAGGATATTTAAAAGTACGTATGCTATTATAACTATTAATTTAGTTTAAAAATATTTCTTGACATGTACATACACTTACTCACCATTTCGTATTTTTATTAACTATTTCAGAACCACGTCTACAAAGTAGCCATATCCACGCTAGAGGAACTAGTGGCACGAATACATGGCGCGTTGGAACAATACAAGGATTTTTAATTCCGTTGAAAAATTTATTTTTTATCGCAAAGAAAACAAAATTTGACCACCTCAAAAACCGGATTTTTCAATATTGTAAAATATCGTCATTTTGGTGAAAATCAAAATTTCGCAAAATCCTTCGTTCAGTGCCTTAACAGTACAATATACTAACTCAATCTTCTTTGGTTTTGATTTTAAATAAGCGGTTTGGAAGATATCGTGGCCACCACGAGTGATCTCGAGAGAAGGGCGTTCTACGAAAAGAGCTGTATTTCCCTCATTATTTAAAACTACTTTAAAACATGTATTTTTTGGTGGTATATTTCACTTCATAATAAATAATTATTAGGACGGCAAAAAAATTCTTGAAAATTACGTCCTTTTGCCGATCCCAACTAGGCGTAACCCCTTGCAGAATTGTAATAAAAAAATAAGAGAAAGAATGCTATTATTATAACCTATTATTAATAAGATTATGAAATATGTATATGTTACGGGCAATGTGTTTAACGTGGGCATTTTGTAAAATGATCGGGCATTGTGTAGAATACCCATTTGTTTTGGGCAATGTATATAATAGACAGGTATTTCACAAATGATTCGTTTATTTAAATTTTTTTTTAAATTTTCCCTTAATAATTCAAAAACGAAGTTTTAAACAACATTTTCGCAAAGGAAAATGTTTAGCATCACCTCAGCCCAGCTATTACCCCCTTAAACCGCTTACACTCTTTCTGAGACACCCTGTATATGTATATATCACAAACCAATTCCACCAACAATACTGATGTACAGCGTAATCTGAAAATAAAATTATATGAATACTAGAGAATTATCGTACAAAATTGAACAATGGAAAAATAATAACAATTTCTGTATAAGAATTTATAATACATTTAATATTTCTTATATTTTCCCTCCGGTTAGTATCTGACGTGCCGTTTTCGAGTCACGTTGGTTACAATGAATTTGAATACGAGTGACCTAACAGTCAATATTGTGTACGCAACACGAAATAGTAAAAATTATTGCAATTTTTAGAATACACAGCGAGTATTATATATTAAGAATACACAGTACGGATATAAATAGCCAAAAATGATCAAGGATTTTGTTATCCCCGTAAACAAAGATGAGCTCTTGCAAAGGAATATTGGAAAATATAATGTTAAACAGATTGTTCCAATAGGTGTAATTCCGCAAGCTCTCAATGGTATGTATATAATTAATGTTATTTATTGGTTTCATTGCAATTTTTTTATTTAATACTTCTTACATATTATTACTTTGTTACTTTTTGTTTTACAGAAGCAAGAACAGCGCTTCAAACCAGTGGAATTTGTTTTATTATTGAACATTTTGATACATTTTTTTCTATAATTGTTCATGGAAATAAAATTGAATTGCCAATTGTTATGCGTGGTTTTAGTAGAATTCATAAAGGTAAGGAATGTTATTTTCATATGTGTTACACTTATTTAAATACTATTATATAGCAATAATACATTTAATTATTATTTAAAACAGCAATAGAAATATTGATTGTTGACATGGAAAGTATATTTGAGAACCAGACTAAATTAAGCGAAGAAGAGAGATTAAAATTTCTAAATGTAACTAAAATGCTTGCATATTTATTTTCATTGTTTGTTTGCTACATAAATGATGAAATTCTTAAAGATGGAAGTGATAAACTTAGTGGAAAGGTTTATATAATATCTGTAATTGTATTATAAAGATTTAATATTTTTATGTCAGTTAATTTATTTTATTTAGCGTAAGAAAGGTACTAGATCTGATATGGAAGAAGAATGGGAATATACTAAAGAGAAAGTATTAGAATATGTTTATAGATTATTACAATTACCTTTACAAAAACTTTGGCAACCGCCTATTGTTGAAGACTCATTCACCGAGTAGGTTTGATACATGATCTAAGAAATTATTCTTATGTTAAAGTAACAAAAATTTTATTACTCTAAATAAAAAATATGATTTAATTTGTTGATTTAATTGTTAATGCTATGTTGTAGAATACTCACTAAAATGTGTTATAAAATGATAGAACAGTGTACAGATTCCAAACAAAAACACATAAGAAAAACTATTTTTGAGGTAAAATTCTTTAATGTTTTATTAAATTGTTTTCAATTTTAACATCTCTTCATTTTTTAATAAAAGATTTTAGGTACTTCAGTTAAGAGATATCATCATGGAATAAGCTGTGTAGTAAGAATAGTTCAGGTGCGTATATTTAAATTTTATTTAAATAAAAGAATTTGTTAATAGTATAAATTAATATTGTAGTTGGTGAAATTACGTGATGTGTTAGCATCACATATAGGAATTGGAGTTGTGCATATGATTGACGAATGTGATTGTAATGGTTTATTAAAGGAAATAATGAAAGAAATTGATCAAAGCGAACCATCCGAAAGTGACTGTCGTAACATTTCAGTGTTTCTTGAAAGCATTGCCACTGCTAAACCAAATCTTATAATTCCTATTCTTGATGATATAGTAGATTATCTAGCTAGTGAAGTATGGTTTCTATTGGTTTAAATATAAAATTGCATATTCAGTTTAGTTTATGTTTGTTTATACCATTTGCAGCATTACACTATGAGAATTTGTATTATTAACATCTTGGGAGTAATTGTAGAAAAAATATTAACCGGAGATGAGCTTACCCAAGAACAGAAAAATCAGCGTGATGAATGCCTTAATATTTTAGAAGAACATATTCTAGATGTTAATGCTTATGTAAGGTCAAAGGTTTTACAAATTTGGCAACATTTATGTTGTGAAGGTGCAATTCCTTTAGCAAAGCAAGGAAAGCTTTTAGCTGCTACGGCATTACGATTAGAAGATAAAAGTACAATTGTACGAAAACAAGCTTTGCAGCTGATACGTGCGTTAGTTCAAGGCAACCCATTTGCAGCTAAAGTATGCATAATGTTAATTTTTTCTTTTTATTATGAATACAAAATCTGACGAAATAAATCGTGTTTTTAGTTAAACAAAGTAGAGATTTCTAAATCGTTAGAGAAGGAAGAAATAACGCTAAGAAAGCTACAAGCTGAAACTGTTGGTAAAAGTACTCGTGGTGATAGTCAGAGATTAGAATTATGGAATGCTTTGCTTCCGAAAATAAGAGAAGCATTAAAAGAAGTTATTAATGGCACGAAAGCGGGGAGCGACAAACGAGGTATGTTCATTTTATTCAGTATGATGCATGATATGAAGATACATATAAGTTAAATGTGTTATTTTATAGATCTAGAGGATGAAGATGAAGAAAATATTGATATTGACCCTAATACAGCGTTTGAACACGTCAGACAATTAATGTTAAAAGAAAAAATTCTGGAAGCAGTAAAATTTTTGTGGAAGGTTTGTATTAAATTGAAGGAAAGTCCAGAAATTGAAAATTTTTCTGCCGAAGCAAAAGAAGAATGTCTATTTTTACTTCTATTGAAAACATTTATGGAATCAGAAAATGGTCCAGATAATGTACAAGAAAATGCTGATAATAGAGAATCATTAGATAAAGATAAAGAAAATATAGTTGGAGCAAAACGAGTTGTAAATTATTTGAGGGTATGTATCTAATTATTTCCTATTAATTTTGATAATTCTTTTATTTCTGTATTTTTTTTGTAGCATTGCTTAGAATTTGCCACTGAACTAGAAATTGCTATACCTATGGCAGAAAAATTACTTTTTTCTGAAACTGCAAGCGATGCTGTTGAAGCATGTACTTTGCTTGGAACTGTTTATCAGTTTGGTGTAGTAGGAGCTGCAACCGCTATATGCGATGCTCTGTATCAAGTATTTCACCGTGATCCATCGGTACGCAATAATATTGCAGAGGTGTATAAAAGTATTTACTTAGTTAATAGTGAAAGTCAAAAATCAGAGCGACAAAATGCTCTAACCTGTGTTAAAGCATTGGTTGAATTGTTAAAATCACTTCAACCAAATCAAAGTCCAGCTTTAACTCAGTTAATTTTAACGTGGTACAATAATAATGATATAAATAGTGAAGTATTACAGGTAATATCATGTATATTTAGTTTTATAATTTTTATCTAAGATGTGATCTAATTCTCTAGTTTAATAGGTATTGTGGGAAAAGTTTTCAATGAAGTCCTCAGACACAAATTCATTAGATAGTAGGACAGCATTGATGTTAATAACAATGATTGCCCAGGCTGAAAGCAATATTATAACAGGAAATTTGGAAGTATTGATAAAAGTAGGATTAGGACCACGAGCAAAAACTGATCTGTTATTAGCTAGAGATACCTGTCGAGCATTGTTAAAAATAAAACACAAAAATGATGATATTGAAAAACCTCCTGTCAGGTAAGCTACCTGTGAAAGTGTAATAATTCTTTAATTGTATATTTGATAAATGTAATAATCATTTCTATTGTCATTAGGTATCCAAATGACCATGAAATATTTACAAAAATTTTCACCCTACTGACAGAAAATTTTACTAATATGGAAGAAGACGCATATGTTTCATTTGCGACAGATGCAATTAGTACCATTTATCATGTACGAAGTATTCTATGATTTTATTACGGATTATATAGAACAATATTTCATAAAAAATATTTAAAAATTTTAGTTAGCTAATCAACCCGAGCATTTAATAAAGAAATTATTGTTAGAAGTGTATAAACGAGGACAATTTGACAGTGAGTTGCCTGTTCCATTTCTTCTGTTAGCTAAACTGTTATATGTAGTCGGGCACATTGCAATTAGAGAAATGGTACATTTAGACACATCAGTTTACAAAGAATTAAAGCGAAGAGATGTTATACGACAATTACGAAAAGAAAAGAATTCAAATAAAAAAGGAAAAGAATTCGATCGATCTCGGAAATCCACTTCAACAACCACCCCAAGTAGTGCAAGACAAATGATTCGGAATAAAGAGGTAAACGACATAATATAGAAGATGTGTTTTAAAAAGATTATACACCGTGAAAACTATAGACCTTTATGAAAGATCTTATCCTATACTTTTATAATTAGACAACTATCACCGAAGATAATGGAGAAGAAGCTGTTGAAGGCGCGGTAGAAGATGCGGATGCAGAATTTATAAATGATGTTCTTGAAAATCATGTTGTGACCGGTGATGGACTTTTATCAAAATTTGTGTATATGCATAAATTTAATTCATTTTCTATTTTGTATTGTTTGCATATGCCTATATATTTTGTTTTATAGGCCCTTGGTATTGGATGTGTGTCGATATCCTGATAAATATAATAGTGAAGATCTACAAGCCGCTGGTGCCCTTGCCCTTAGCAAAATGATGCTAGTAAGTTCCATTTTTTGCGAAGAGTCATTACAACTGTTAATTACGATCTTAGAACGTTCACCCTACCCTAATATTCGGGCTAATGTTCTTATTGGAATAAGTGATCTAACAACTAGATTTCCAAATCAAATTTTACCATGGATGCAACACATTTATGGCAGGTGATTATAAACACGTTAACCAATTTCAAGCATGGTATCGTAATTGATTAAAGAATATAATTAACTTTCAGACTTCGGGATGAAAATATAACCGTACGAAGGTCGTGTTTTCGAGTTTTATCAAGTCTTATACTGAGAGAAATGTTGCGTGTGAGAGGTAAAATATCAGAATTAGCTGTGTGCATTGTTGACCATGACGAACAACTCCGAAAAGATGCGAGACAATTTTTCAAAGTACTTTCACAAAAAGGCAACACATTATACAACGTGATGCCTGATATATTATCTCATTTAACCGACCCTGAATTAAATTTGAATGAAGCTGATTTTCACGAAATTTTAAAGTACGTGTAATAAATAAGACAGAATATCAAATCGTCATTTAATCTAACAGCATATGTTTTCAGGATCATTTTGAATTTACTACAAAAGGAAAAACATGTTGATTCTATAATTGATAAGATTTGTGCTAGGTTTAAACTAGCTACTACAGAAAGACAGTGGCGTGACTTTGCATATTGTCTTTCACTTTTACAGTTTAGTGCAAAAAGTAAGTAAGAATTTATTTAATAATTAATTTAAAAAATTTCTTTCTAAAACAAAACAAATTTTATATAGGTTTACGTCGTCTTATTGAAAGTTTGCCTCTTCTAAAGGAAAAGATTCATCACAATCAAGTTTCAAAAGCATTGCAATCCATTATAGAACAGACAAAGAAAAAACCAAATACAAAAGCGATTTCCGTAGAACTGGAAGAAAAGATGAAGGAACTTTTACAAAAAACAGAGAATTCAACACAGAATGATAACGAAATGATGCCACCACCACAGTTGATACCGAAAACAAGAAAGCGTGGTCGACGAGCTGCTTCAAAACGTAAAAGTAGGGGTGAAAGAGAAGATGATGAAGAAGAAGAAAATGATGGTGACGATGACGATGATGGTGATGCTGAAACGGATAACGATTTAAGCATATCTGCAACAAGTACGTTTTTTAATATGAAAATAGTAATTTTAATAGTGTATATTACTGATATAAAATTATTTTAACAATAGGTAAGAAAAAAGAAAAATCGCATGAACTTCAATCAAGTTCTGGTTCTCATGAATCAATCGAATCTCAAAGACGATGTATGTATTCCGATTTCTGTAAACAAACAATTTTTTATATCTGATTGTTACTATTTTTATTAGCTACTGTAAATCCATCTACGTCAAGTGTAAGAAGATCAATGCGAAACAAGGGTATCGATTTAGCATCGCCGTATCCGAAGAAAAATAAACAGGCTGTAACACCAGTATCTTTTCCAAAAAGATCCTCAATTCGGTTATCGCACTCACGAAACAAGGAATCAAATTTGTAAATATATACTTATATATACATATTTGCATAACTAATATACAACCTTTTATTTTTTTTTTAAATCATACTA